CTTTTCCAGCAACAACATTTAAAACTACGTGATATACGCCATTTGTTATCATATTAAAAAATCTTTTTATATAATTAGTGGCAAAAGACTTAATTTTGTGAATAGGAATGAGTTTTATAAATAAATAAAAATTCGGTTTGTTTTGAACTGTTAAACATTATACGCTTAATAAATTTTCGGTTTCAACTTTTCAATTATTATTACAGTAGAACTTCGAAAACTCGGCTCTCGATAACCCGGCACTCCGGATAACTCGGCCACACCCTGGCAGGGCAAAAAATCCTTAGTTAATTAATTTTCATTATAGACAGCTTTATAAAAGTATAAAAGCTCTCATAAAGTATTTTTCTGTCTGTCTTATCAGGTAAATTACTATACACAGTGTATTCATTAATTTTCATTTTCATGTAGTAAAGGCTCTATGCCTTCATAAAGGACGTACTTTTCCTTTGTTTAAGGGTATTTGGGCAGTTTATTCTCTGTTGTATTCTCAAGAAAACAATACATACAAGTACAGTACAATATTTTCTGAGGAAACACGCATACTTATCCTTTTTTAGCCCCATTCCCGATAACCCGGCATTTTCACAAACTCGGCCACCCTTCGGTCCACATTAGGCCGAGTTTTCGAGGCTCTACTGTATTTTTTTTCTATAATCTAAGCCTGAAATCTGAGGAATGATATTAAAAATCATTCTGCGTGTGCCATACGTTTCCCAGCCGTCCTAAATTCTAACTTCATAGTGTCAGGCCTTAAACTTTAGCTTAGCTTACGCGTAAGTCAGGCCTTGGGTAAAAAAGTTTTTATTGTGATTATGAAAAATACTATTGCATTCATTGACCATTTCGGAAAAGTATCTCAGACACTTCTCAGATATCAAAACAGGTCTAGGCCAATTAACTTGAGTCCTTCGGTATATTAAAATTTTAAAAAATGCAATGATACGAATGATTATTTTTGAGGCCTCTTAAATGGCCCTAGTAACTGCGCTATAATGTCTAGTATTATATAACACAAAGATAATTTACTGGAATCAAACAAGACATTGCTTATGGGAAATTAGATTTGATTTACGACGATTTCTAGAACTAATTGAGATATAAGAAGTCTACAGTGTATATTTTAGAAAATAAGAAAAACAAACCAGACCTTTCACATTTTTTCGTGTGATGCACTTATGAACAATTATTTAAATTAACAATTTGCGCCTTTTAAATCCTCAACAGGAATTATAGTAAAATTCAATTAATTTTTGTAATATATACAGTAGACCATCATTTCTTCAAACGTTCCTATAGAAAGTCAACGTAAAGAATGCTAATATGTTTCCTATTAAAAATATATAATTATTATTTTTGGTTATTTAATGCCAAAGAACTGTCAATAAATTTCACAAGTAGAAAATGCAGTTGCAAAACGAAGGTCGTAAAATGGGAATGCCTGCTGTTTTTCGACAAGTGTTTTAAGAAAGTTATATTTTGGTTTTCTGTATAAAGGTATAGCTTCTGGTAAATTTATGTAAATGCTTATCGTGTATTTCGATATTGAAATGTGTAAGAAACACACTAAGATCATCTACAGTGTGATATTCTAAAGTATTTTCTAATTGACATCTTATTCATACGAAATATGTAGGAATATGAAACTAAATTATAAATGACATTATAAAACATTAAATGACAATTTCAAATTATGTTTTATTCAAATGTATATTTATTGGCTATCATTGAATGGTATTGAAGTTATATTCTAATTTTTTTGAATTGAATTTAATTCTTATATTGGAGGATAATTGTTTCCATTTATTGGATACCTGGTCTTTATTCAAATCATCTAGATGCTTATTTTAGTTGGAATTTAAATTTCTATTTATGTAGAAATAATAGAAACAATAGCTTTATTTTTTGCATGTATTTTTCAAAAGGAATTTGTTAGAAGGATAGTGCTTTTAAGCCCCGCTGGATCATCTTTAAGAGCCAATTATTCCAAAAAATATTAAATATTGTTTTTTGGAACGTTTAATATTTTCAGACTACTTTAAATCTCTGATAACTAGCCAACAAGGTTCAGCAGCATTGTTTCAAAATATCTAAAAAAAATTCACTCCACTAAAGCAGGTGAATGAATTTTTTTGGCTAATTGCACATTCACAATTCATTAGCAAGTGTCTCAAAGATGCTCATATACTTCTATATAAATGAAACCTGTCATTGAAGATTTCAGTTTTTATACAAAAAATTTCCGATACGCGGAAATACAGAGGAACCTGGTTAACTCGAATCGGTGGGAGAAAAAATCCGGACAAGTTACGGAGGTTCGGCTAAAGATCAAGATTTTGTGCATCGGTTTATCGGTGGGTCATAATTAGAGGATTTGATCCCGGGATCTCGAAAATCGGGATCCCGGGATCCCGACTACTTTTCAGTCCCAAAATTTTCGGGATTAAGTTTTCCTAATCCCGAGATTTTCGGGATTGACATCATTTTAAAAAAGTTGCAAAATAGACTGCATGAAGCGAAACGTTCAGTGCCAGTGCTTTTACAGAATTGCTTGCCTATCATTTTAATATAAAATATGAGAAATGTTATTCCAATCAAGCAGCAGAAATTAACCTAGCGGGCTTGCGATGCTTGCTTGGAATAAAACTTCTTGTATTTTGAACTAAAATGATAGGCAAGCAGTTCTCACTGGGTTACTTGGTAATATACTTCATTTTTGTATTTTTGAATTTTCGCGGGCGCCAATCGATTTTCTGGCGCAGTCGAGAGCACTACTCAGTGCGTTTTACCTGTCAATGTGTCAGCCATCTTGTTTTGCCAGTGTGGTTAATATAGACCCGACGCCTCTCGCTTAGGGGGGTCGACCTTAGGTGAAAAGGTTACGACCCCCGCCTTGCCCGTGATCTGTCAGGATGATGCGAGAAAGTCTTTTTACGTTTGGGAGTAGTGGTTTGCTGGATGCTGAGAGACTCACACAGAGACCGAATTTACAAAATTAACGTGTTTATTTTTAGAAAGGCATGCTTACAATGATCGAAACAATCGGGATTGTAGCCTTTACTCCTACAATCCCGATCTGTGTCGACCGGACTGTTTTCTTCCAACCTCCCCGTGTCCTCGAAGCTATAACTAGAACGGGCTTATAAGTATTTACTAACGATTCCTCCAACTTCCATCAAACCTAAACGCGTTTTCTCAGCAGCTGCATATATGTGCAACAAATTGAGAAGCAGACTTGGTGATGAGACACAGGATGCGTTGTTATTTCTCAGATCATATTTTCGCAATTCAAATTAGAATGTTCCTATTAGATTAGTTTTCTTTATATTTAAGAAAAATGTGACTGATTAATATTATTTTTAAATACTTTTTGCTAAGAAACTTACTTTACTACCTACTTACTAGGTTGTTATATGAAAGTAGTCTATTTAGTCGATGTTAAGAGAGATTTTTGTTAATTTTCAACGTTTATTTGCATAGTTTGTTACATAAAGGTTTTTTCAATTTATGTGAGTTTAAAGAGATCTCAGTGATGCTTAAAAAAGAATAAATTTAACATGAAGACTGAGTGATTTTAAGTCTGGTTAGTCTGACTCTGAGTCTGATTAGTTAGAGTGATTAAATTAGCTAGGTGTATACTGTAAAATATGTTGATTTTTGTCTAAATTTTGATTTGTTGATTTCTGTAAGATTTTCTTATTTTTTATTAATCCTCAATACCGAAATAATCCCGGGATCGACTAAGTATAATCCCGAAATCCCGGGATTAGAAATAAGGACCGGGATCGAATTCCCTAGTCATAATAAACTATCCATACGGTATTTCCATAGAATCGTCGCATCAATGTTGTCCAGAAACTTGAAAACGTTTAATAGAATGGTTAAACTACCGAGAAATGCTTTCCAGAATAATTGATCCGTTCACTCCTAAGTGTTTAGTAAGGATTTTTAATTGATACGTTGCGCCTAAAATCGACCCGTTTTTTGTTTTTCTATCACAAACGTACCATTCTTTACAATGGTTATATATTTAAAATTTTGCTAAAGGTTAAAATTTTTACATAAAAAAACGTCTATAATCCGATTCTAAATTAATTTAGCAAAAACCCACTTATTTATTACGTCAGCAATCAAATAAAAAAAATGTTCGAGGAAAATGCAGGTTCGAATGACAGTTACAGTATTTATGTCATACGCTGCTGGAAGCCACCACCCCACCGCCAAATGACACGATGTTTATTTCTGGTTGTATGTAGTTTCCGATTGTTTTATTCGATAGATGGACGTTAATTATTTTACTTAATAGGAAATTAAAATTCCGGAGTTTATAAAAATACTGTATTAAAACCCCATTCGAGTTAGCCAGTTTAATTAACACGTAAATCCCTAACACGTTAGACGATCGGGGAAAGACTTGCAGTAAAAGCAGCTTCGAATTATCCCGGTTCAAGTTAACCAGGCTTAACCGTAATAAAAAAGAAAAACGGAGAAAAAATTTAGCATTTTAAAATGCTTTTTAAAATTTTGTAACACAGCTATAAGAAGTTTGTACTTTAGCAGTGTATTGTGGCAACTGAGAACCACTGAACAAAAGTAGGATTTTCTTATATTTTGAACTTTGTGGACTGGTTTTATTTTTTTGGTATTTTTGAAGGAAAAAAGTCAAAATTATTACAAAGTAACATCAATGTTTTTAAATTGACAGACAAGACTTATTTTATTGAACAATTACATCAAGGCACAATATTAAAATCACTTTGTTATTTAAAAGAAACAATACAAGGAAGGTAGAATGGTCCAAAGGAATTTCTAAAAGTTTACAAACTCTCTTGTGATATATCTGCAATTTCTGTTCCTAATGAAAATATATTCTGAATAAAAAATAATAATTTTTATATATGTATATATTCATACATTATTTTGAATATATCAAATTACGCTGCTCGAGGGATTAAAATAAAAACTTTGGCCCACGTTATATTTAATCAAAGCTCACATAATCAAAGTATTAGCTGCAATTTATTGAATATTTACAGAAATAACACAAATTAGAATTTTACTGTATACACAAAAATAGTTATACAATAACCTATGTGAAGTACAAGGAAAAATCACAGCTAATTTGTCCATGATCTAACATTATGTGAAAAGAACTTTATACAGATAGTTTCAGAATAAATGATTTAAATCAAAATATATTAACACATTTTTATTATATTGAAAGACAAAATAATGGATTTAAATTCAGGTTTAGAATATGCCAAGATTATAAATCAAAAAGAACTCAAAAATAGAGAAATCAATAATAAATTTTAGGGTTGGCACTGTTTGTGGGAGAATAGTTAAGTTTTTTCATTAAATTTAAAAATATATGATTTTAGTATCACAAATGTACATTGTGTTTGGTATAGAGGATGAGCGTCAGAAGATTATAATTTTTATTATAAGTCTGTGGTTTGATTCAGCATTTTTATATATTCTAAACTTAATAAACTATATAATAAATAGAAATAAAAAAGGAAATATCTTTTAACTTCTGTAATATAATGTTTAAATTATCACACTGGTAATATCACAACATATATAAAATAATGCACCAATAATTAAAAATAGTAATTTTGGGGGTTTGTTTTCGATCATGAAAGGCACAACTCATTCAAAAGACACATTTCTTTTCAAAGTGTCAGATGGCACCTACATTATTTCTCAAAAAATTAGAATTATTCTACAATTTGGAGGTAAATTTTGGTTTGAGTGATATGAAAATTTATATTTTTCAAATCAGAATAATATATTTTTAAAGTTTAACTTAATTTTTCTTTGTTATATATGCCTTTATATCTATATATATATGTATATAAATATATAGCACAATCATTTGAATTTCAATAACTAATTCAAAAAAATTCTACAGTAATGAAATAATAAGTTATAAAATGTAAAATGAGATATATTCACATAATGATTGCATGGGACCTTAACAAAATATCAAAAACAAAAATATTTGGACTTAAATCATTTTAAAAAACAAAGAACGAACATTAGCAAATGAGGAACTATAAAGTTAACATGCATTATATAAAATATATAAATTAAATCAAGAAGTCAGATCCGATTTGGAGACAATTTCGTACTCATCAATATCAATGTCACTATGCCGAGAAGAGTGGAGAGCATTTTCGGAAGTTTGCTTATTACTTTTGTTATTTGATTCATGATTTGAATTAGAATCCGTGTCGAGCACATCGGTAAATGTCAAACCTTCTGAAAATAATTCTTCATTTTCGGTGTCAGAACTGTCTTCTTTATAATAAGTTGGAACAATATTAATTAAGTTGTCTTCTCCATTTGCATTTTCTGGTTGAGGTAATTCTATTTCATCTGCACTTTCATCATCATCATCAACACTGGGAAAATTTTCAAGACCTTGATATAGTGATAAGTCATCCTCTATAAAAAAAAATTATACATATAAAAAATTTCAACTTAAAAAAAATTCAAACTTTATTTGAAAAAATAAAAACACTAAACATTTTCACATTGTATATTTTGTATTCCTTTGAACATAAAATAGAAACAAAATCAAAAATAATTAAGGTATTTTAAATTTTCACTTTTATACTAATATAATATAAACTGTATTTATAATTTCTCAGTAATTTTATTAAAATCTTTATTTGAGTATAATATTTTGTAGTTTAACTGCCTGCCAGATAGCCAAGCAATGAATTGTTATCCCATCCGAGGGGTCAATAGATTACAAATACTGTAAATCATAAATTATGGGAAGAAAAGATTGGGAATATTCGCTGTAACTTACACAGGCCACCATCAATGCAAACCAGGTTCATCTATAATGGTTGAAATTTTTGGCTTGCTGTATAGCAAACAAAAATCAACCAACCACGCAATTATAAAAGTTAGTCACGTAAATTGCATATTTAAAATTGAATTTACTCTCTTCAATGAAAGCCATTCTATATATTTACCTAGATATTCATAACACTAATGTTGAACACAGTGTCCATGGAAGCTTCCCTTGTGTTTTCTAAAATATAAATGCATACTGTGCAATTATTTTCATATTTTAACATACTTTGAATTAATTAAATTACATATTGCAGTTACAATAAAATATCATCTTATTACAAATTTCTATACTACATGTGAAAAGAATGCTACTGTATATTCCAACATAAATTCATATACAGTAGACCCCCTATAAAACAGGTTCATATAATACGGATTTGTATAATATAGCAAAAAAATTGCAATCGTATTTGCATAAACATGCTAAAAGAGACTCGTATAATACGGTAAAACGTCATCGCTAACTTGCGTCGTGACAGGATTGATCGAATCTAGACCAATAGCGAATATTGCGCAAACCGTTGAGTTTAAATGAGCAGTGGACCTACTAAAAACCATTTATTATTTAACGGCCATAAAAATTATATTTATATTAATGATGTCTCCAAAGTTCAGCAAATTTTTTGCAGAAAAATAAGTTATCAGAAAACATGCGCCCACCGTTCAATGCGATGCTTCGCAACGAAAACAAGCTTAATTTAAGCAATGGCGTCGTCGAACGGTGCACACTCGGTAAGTAATCCTACAATTTTTTGTTTATAGTATAGTTTATATGGATTATTCCCAAAAAATTATACGTGTTTTGGAAATGTTGAGTCAAATTAGTCTAGAATCGATTAATTTTATGGAAGAAAACCTTTCAAACAGCTGTAGTCCGTAAACTGCATGCATGCCGGGCTGTGATTGGCTCATGTATTTAATGACTCGTAGAACATCAATTTCATAAAGAACAGAACGTATCTACTGTGTTATAGCGGGGGGTCAACTGTATGCATATTCCCAATGGAAGCGCTGTATTGTTGAATACGGGACAGCTTCCACAGCAAAAATATCTGAATCGTGTAAAGTAGCCAGATTATACACATTTGCACATGTACTTTATAGAGCACCAACCTCACGCCGTTTAGCTGGTGGATGCTACACACCAAAATATTGTATAATGCTTCCAATGATTCTATCCAGGATGGCACAGCTTCCCTATCATCAAATGCCACCACATGCCACTGGTTGAACAACAACATTTAAAAATGTCAAATACAATGAATAAAAATTATAAGAACCAAACTCAAGTTTATTTTCAAAATAAAATGTGGTAATTTGGAAAATTTAACATTAATCTGAAATTAACACTAACTTGTAAGAGGGACAACAGGAAAAGATTATGAATTTTAAACAAAAAAGTTCAAAAGATGACATTATTTCAATANAGTTATAAACCGTTGCACCGCAAATGTCTAGTCTGATCTAGTACACCAATAGTGCTACTTGTTCGTAGATGGCGCGTATAATTGAATTAAGTCGTATACCGAGCAAAATTTGTTTTGTCCAAACAGGACGTATTCTAAAGCAGACGTATACCGAGGTACCACTGTACAAGCAATGCAAATGTATGAATGTGCAGCAATGTGAGCACTGTGTGTTCTGATGAAAATGTCAGAAGAAATAATTATAGCTGTGGCCAGACATTTGGTCAAAAAGTAAATGATTGAACAAAGAAATATACATGTAGGAAATTTTAATAATTTACTTATATAAGGAAAACAAAAAGAGAACTTCAAATACATTTTAGAATAACAGATTGCAGACTTGTGATACAATAGGCAAAACTCTGCTTTTCATAAACATCGTTTATTAAATTGTTAATTGTAATATTGAAAAAATAGTATTGTGATCTTATATCATGATTATAAAGCATTCTGCAGGAAATTTTAAGTAAGTGAAAAAATATTAAAAACTGATAAGATAATCAAAAACTTAGTGTAAAATAAAATGATAATTAGCTTCAAATATTATATATAAATATAATAAAAATAAACATTTATAACAATAAACATAATATATATGAAATAAAATGATGCCCAACACAATATATTTTTTAAAGTTCAATAAAAAAATTAAGTACTCCTATATAATTATGTTGAAAAATAGTCTTACAATATAAGCAAAAATTAATTTTTATTTGAAAATAACACAAATTTTAGTAATGAATAATTTTTCATTTAAATAATCAAAAATTTCATCTGGAATGTGTTGTTGATGAAAGCCATTTCTTACAGCTTTAAATTATAAAAATCATTACTTAAAAGTATCCTCAGACAGAGGTTTCAGTCTTCAAACTCTTAACAGCTATTTGGCTAGCAGGAGTTAAAATAGACTGAAATATTTTGGTTCACATTAGTAAATGAAAAGTAAGATTTTTAAAAATTCATTTGGTTTTTTTTTTACTCTGACCCATGGGCACTAAGAAGTCTTTTTTATTAAGTCCAATGTAAATTCAAGTTGGGCTCACAATTGGGCAGGGTTAAGATTTCCAACTTGAAACAGTGTTGACTCTTGAACCTTCATATTTAACCTATATCAGGAATGAGAAAAACAATGGGAATAGCATACCATATATGTCAACTAACACAAAAGAATTTAAAACTTGAATTTTAAAAATGACTTCTAGATGAAGTCAAAATTAATTCAGCAGCACACACTCATTTGTCAGGAAAAAGAAATAACCAGTTTAAAGATATGGTGGCAATTAATCCAAATCATGTTGATCAATGTTTGGAAAATGACTTACAATTTAAAACTGTTTCAGAAAATGAAGATGAGTGAATCTTTTGAAAATGCATTGATGCTAATATTTAATACAAAAATGGCTTATTGTACAATAAAAAAAAGATACTGCTTTATATTGTTCTCATTGTGATAAAACACTTTGCCTTGACCATTTTATTGTCAAAAGTGATCTACATTGTCATACTGTAAATTTTCATACTGTACTTCATAATACAGGTAACCCCCGTATAACACGGCACTTCTATAGCACGGATTCGCTCTAACACGGTTCGAGAATTGGTACCATCCCCCGTATAACACGGCACTTCTATAGCACGGATTCGCTCTAACACGGTTCGAGAATTGGGTAAAACCCTCGTACAACAGGAAATGTAATAAATTTTTACATACTTAACTAATAATAGTTCACAAAAATTATTATTTTCGCGAACTATTAGTACTTAAGTATGTAAATTTTCTCTTCTCGCCTTCTGTCGATACAGGTGGTTTTTCTCGAAACTTGTTTCAATGTTGCCAGATCGCGACGCTTCTGCTTCTGATGTTGCCGAATGTTTTTCCCTTATTCCATACTTGCTTTATTCTTCATAAGTGCTTAGCACCATATAAGGAAATTTATAAAGACCTTTTAACTAGAAGCAAGCAATCTAAAATTACATACATTTTGCAAAAGGTAAAGCATGGATCTGAAGATAATGCAGAAAAATGCTCAGAGGATAAGGATAACTTGCCAAAAAGAAAACGCTCTCGGTTAATTAATAGTGTTTTTAGTGATGACGAAGAAAACATTGTTTAATTTATATTAATATGTATCACTTAAAAAATTTTAATGAAGATATTTATCTTAATTATGAAAATATACTAGCATGTTTTTTAATTTTTGGAACCTAACCCTTTTTTTCGTATTAGTTCTTTGTTTCGTATAACACGGATTCGCATAACACGGCAATTTTTTGGAACGTAACTACCGTGTTATACGGGGGTTACCTGTATAACTTTTTTGTTCCCTCACAAAGTTCTGTATTAGTTACGTCAATTAAATTTGTTGTAAAACAGGTAAATACCATCTGCCAAAGTAATCTATAAAAAGTTTTTCTTTACATGAAAAATTCAGCATCTTAAAGCTCAATGATCATATCAGAGCCAAACAATTACAGTATTAAAATTGGGCTATATTACAACTACTATTACTTACTCAGTATTTAATAATTATTAGAAGCAGTAATGTAGCCCAATTTAATATGGTAATCATTTGGCTGTGGCACTGAATTTTTCAATTCTTTGGCTTTTAACCCCTAAAATAACATTAAATACAGAGGGTGATCTGTTAATGAACAAATCAGATAACAAACACTTTCGCGAAAGATTTTTATGTTTGGACTACAAACACCTCACAGAACAAATGCAAGAAGCAACGTAAAATAATGAATACCAATTGGTCTTCCCTTGTCTTCAGGCAACAAACTTTTCGAAGCACAGGAGACGTTGATATCGATGCTCAACCCGGTATATACTGTTTGGATAGTATTCTTCTAAACTTTGAACCTCTCCCTTGTAATTCCAGCCTTTTATTTTTCTGACAGAAACAATTCTTTTATAGTATTCGCAAGACTGTCAAGTGGGCACTCGTTAAGTTTTTATTTTCGAAAGGTAAAGTAGCAAAGGTAGAGAGTGGGCAGAAGATGTCTGATGTTGCTGGGCAGTATGGCTTGAACAAAAACTACAGTAGGGAGCAGTTCAATCTTATCTAAGAAAGATACATTATAATCAAGAAGACTCAAGCAGCTTAAAGAGTG